TCAAAGATGGTCGCTCACAGTGGACATAGATGCTTCTTTCACTCCTCTTTCAAACCATCTGTCTTCTCTGTCCAAAATGTGAACATTGGCATCCTCAAAGAGTGACCTTTGACCTTTAGATGCAGATGAACAGCTGAGTCTTGTCCCGTGGAGGTGGCTCTTCCATGTTGTGCGTTTATGAAGTGGCTGTTTGGTCTGAGCATTTCTCTACACTGTACAGCAAACACCACATTGTTAAGTTTGTGTTTAGGAGTTTTGTCTTTGGGATGAACCAGTTTGTGTCTGAGTGTGTTGCTGGGATGTTTCTCTGATAAACCGGTAATAACAATGTTGTTCTGTTTGTCCTCCTGATTCTCTGTAACACTTGAAAATAAACATTTTTGCTTGGCTATTTATTGACCCAACAAGGTGTTTGGATCAATGTTATATTATCAGTATTATACAAAAAGCTTGGTTTTAGTACAGATCAGATTAGTTGGATTAAAAGCTACTTAACTAAACATCAGAACATCCATGTAAAAGACATTTTATAATCTCAATGGATATTTTATTCCGGGTTAAATAAAGATTAAAATAATCGAAATAACAAAAATAAAAATCTACTCACAGTGATCTAATGTCACGGTCTGAGTGAGCAGACGGGCATTTACATCAGTGCCGGAGCACCCTTGGCTCCGCCCGTGGGCAGGACTTCCTCAGCTTCACGCCTCTGGAGCTAACTGGGGCCATCAGGCCAAAGAGGGATTTAAGCTCTGCGCTGTCATCTCCTCCCTGCTGGTCGTCAGCTACCTGATGTTGGTAACCGGCTCTCACGTTCATGCTGCTGTTCTCAAGTTTCTTGTGCTTCAGGACTTTTCTCCAGTGTCGACTGCTGCTCACCACTCGGATCTCGGCTCCTTTCCACCTCACTGGGAAATATTTCCAAACCTCACCTGCCTGCCCTCCTGCTCACTCACCACTTTGGATCCAACGAACCCCAGGTCAGCCGTTTCACCTTTTTCAAATTCCAAGGAAGTGCCTCACCTCCCCCTCAATACCTCCACCTCCTGCAAGTAAGCTGGAAAAACTGTTATACTAACCCAGCTCTAACTCTGCTCTCCTCTCTCCCCAGTGTGACCAATACTTACCTGCCCAGATCCAGTTGTCCTCACGTTCATGCCACTCTAATAGTTTCACGGCTACGTTTACATACCACAGTTTGCCACGTCCCTGTGTTTTCACCTATATTATATATTCACCAATAAATAAATGTTAAAACGCTCTCTTGCCTCCGCTCTGTGTCTGTTGCTGGCCTCCGTCCAGCGTGACATCTAATGGTGAGATTTTACAGTGTAGCTTTAAGCAACATTCACGTAACCTCAGAGCTCATAGGGATGTATTATATTTAGTCCTTTCTGTTTATCTTCCTTGACCATTAAGGTCAAAGAAAGTTGGGTGGGAGGACTTAGGAAATGAGCATCAGTATACTCAAAAATATTGGGTGGTTGTTACATGTACAAGATTCAAACTTATAATTTGAATGAAATTTCATGTTTCTATGGTGACCATAATTAAATCATGTAGCATCTGCATGAAATTCGGCAACTTAATTTGTTCTTGTTGAGATGACCTGATACACTCTAGTCAGAGTGGTTCGTTGCCTGGAAATCCACAAGATCACATTAGATGTCAAACTGCAGGAAAATCACTGGAGTTTTAAGAGGCAGACAGCTACACCCACACCACGTGTTTGCTCTTGCTATTTATTGTGATTTAACCAGTCAAGGACAAAAAATGCTGAAAATGCTGCATCAAGCCTCGAAATCACAGCTTTTCTAGTTTTGTTAAGCCTGGATTGACAGCTTAGTGTGATGGTTGGTGCCGTTGCCTCATAGCAAGAAGGGCCTGGGTTCAAATCCACAACCTGGCTGGTTTGCAGTGTGTTATTAGAGTTAAGTTGATGATTCTAAATTACCCATGAATATAAGTGCAAATGGTTGTTTGTCTCTATGAAATCATCAACCCCCATATTGGTTCATTGAGGAAGACTAGCAGTAAATGCCTTGATTAACAAACAATGAGATTTCATTGTGTTTTCCTAAAGTTGTTAACTTGTGTAGAATGAATTAAAACAAATTTCACTTAAACAAATCACTTCAAGTCAATGTATGTATACTACGTTGATCCAACGTAATCTGATTACATCAAACCACCAAATGCCAAATGTGTTGGTCTGACACGGTCAAAAACAGGTTACTGTACTTGGTTAAATCACGTGGAAAAAGGTGCCATGGTTAAATTGTGTTCATCCAACAACAGACGTAAATCGAAATGTGGTTTTCATTAAAGTTTCCCATCATTACAATCGTTAGTTCCCAAATCAAATTAGTTGTTTAAACTTGAACTTGAGCTAATCTCATGTTAAGTGGCCATAACTGGCTATTTAACGTTCAGTAAGGAAGGAGCCGTTTATTTAACATTTTGCCAAGAAACAAGTTTGAAGTTCAAACATGGGCTCCTTTCTGTGTCTGCTTCTTCTGGCTGTCTCCCCAAAAGCTGTCAGAAAGAAGCTTCATGCTAAGAGTAAAGGTAAGTGTGATGTTTTTGGGAAAACGTCTTACAATACACAAAGTGAGTTAAATAGTGGCTGTGCTTGTGATGCTAACACAGTCTTATAACTGTTGGACGTTAACTTAGAGATCAAAACTGTGTTTTAAGGTCACACATGAGGGATGTGTTGCTTTTACAGCAGTAACTTGATAAACTTTGTAAAAGATGAGGTCAGTAGTCTTTAGCTGAGATTTCAGCCTCCTCTGATAGGACTGAGGCACAGAAGCTGCTGCTGTTTGTTTTCTTTTTCTCATTCAGAGTTTTAAAGAGAATACTGAGAAGTAAAAACTGATCTATAGAAACACTTGAATCTCCAATCAGTCATATTATGGTATACAGCACAGATGCTGCTTCTAGGGTTAGGGCGAGGCATCGGGAATCACATTTTTATGTTGTTTCTGATAGTATCACTTCTATATATTACATGTGCATGTGTAAAAGAAAGCAATACCTTATCTTATAGTGAAGAACCATCATTAAACACTGGAATTCAAAGTTAAATTGAATAAATATTCTATAAATATATAAATATTATTTTAATAATTACTGTCATGTAGATGAGAAAAAGAGACAGAGCTCCATTCATTCATATCAGCACAGAGAGAGAGAAAGAGAGAGAGAGGTGCACTGTGCTGCATTAAAATATATCAATTCAAACTGAGGGCAGATTTTTCAGCTCTGACACTGTTTGCTCTTCAGTTGAGTTGAGTTTTCTATTTTTAAGAGAAAACGTTATTTGCTGCACAAAGTGACTTCGTCCTTATTCATCCATCCACAGCTCTGCCATATAGAATATATTTATACTGTAAAAATAAAAGCTAGAAAAATACATCCAGTAATTACAAATAATATAATTCTAGACAAGTTTTTTAACATGTTTTTTTTCCTTTACGTTACCTTTTTTGTTATTTTCTCAGAAATAAACCTGAACCTGAACCTGTGAGTGTCCTGCTGATCGGACCTTTTGTGTGTGTAGATCTTTCCTAAATCCTGGTTACGGACTACGAGAGGAGCTGGAGTTGTACAGAAAGTATCGACCCCTGTTTCCCCACGGACCTCGGAGACCCGGACCCCTTTCCCCCTGCACATTGCATATATCCACTTGGTGTTTGTTGTTCACTGTAAATAAACACGCTGTCTTTCGCCTAAGCAAAGTCCCTTTAACAAACCTTATGAACAGTGTTCTTCATTTTCTTTCGATTTCACAATTATGCACTACTTTGTGTTGGAGTATCACATAAAATCCTGTTGAAATACATATAATTTATGGTCTGATAGTTATGCTAATGTTGCTGTCACTACAAGTATTACAGAGATTCAAAGAGTGAAGAACTCACATATGGCATGCACAGTCCTCAGCTGATACAGGACTCAAAGGACTTATGACACTTGAAGACAGAATAATAATAATACACAGAATAATAATAAATATCAAACATACAGAAAGAATATCTTGGCTGCTTGTTAGTTATTTCATTCATACTGTTTGTGCATTTTTCTTCATAGCTAGCAGGTAAACACACACAGGACTGATTATTCAGTGACTTTGTCCTCAAACTGTGGAACCCGGTTTTATTCTAATCCAGTATTAATGTTCTCAAGGATATAATTTCTGGTTTTGTTGTTGTTTTTCAATAACACATTTCGGTAATACACTGAATGTTCTGTTAGAAATAAAAAGATATTCTTTTGGTTCTGTTGATATAGTGTTTTTAATACAGTCATTACTCAAAATTACCAAAAAAACTGCTAAAAAATACTAACTAGTAAAAAAAAGAAAGAAGTATAATTAAGAGGTAAATAACCACAATGATTTTTTTTTATAATGAATGAAACTCCAGAAAATAAAAACTCAAAATAAATCAGAATTGATTTGTTAACATTTGTGTGACTTTAATGCTCCTTTGATGTCGCCTGTTTTCATGAATTGAATGAATCCTGAGACGGTGTTTTATTCCACGCTACACGAGGCGAACATGACTGGATGTCCTGTCCGAGAAACTAAACAGTTCTTATGGCCACCGGATCCTTCCGGGTCACTTTCCTTAGTGAAGACCCTTCGGACCGTGAAAGGTCTGAAACAGTAACAGACTTAAACATTTAAGGGGATCTGCAGTGATACACTGTTACAAAAACCCTCTAATTGTCCCACACTGGGGAAGGCGAACATTTCTGCAGCGTGAGATGAGAAACCACAGCTCGCACCTGTTTATCTGCAGCGCATCTTGACCTGAGTTCATTTTTGAGCCAGCAAAGGACAAACATGTCCGCTACACTGATGCAAAATGGCTCACTGCTGCTCCTGCTCGGAATTCTCTGCACGTCCCTGATGGTGTCAAACTCACGCAAACGGACACACAGAAATAGCGGAGGGGGAGGGGGATGCTGAGCCGCTCCAGTGAACCCAGTATGGATGCTGACGTAGGAAACTGGGATGGGCGGAGCTTGGGGTTCGTATTGAATCTCCGGGGATCACCGACACCGGCTGGTCTGTGTCGTTCATTCATCGGTGGAATTATTCTGCTCCCAAATTAGCCGTTCCACCATCAGCCATCCTGACTCCTCCGAACACCGACTCTAAGGACGCTACTCCTGGCCATCCTCTGTGGTAAGACCCGCACAGCGTAGGGCTGGAGGCTCGGCAGCAGATGCTGGCTCAGCGCTGTCCTATATGTTGTCTAAAGGAAAATTACCAGCGCATACTACCATCCTATACGGGCTGCGGGGCGCGCGGTGCTCAGCAGGCCGGCTCGCTTCGTGATGACGTTTTGATGGATGCGAGTTATTTTAATGGGCAGTATTGCAGTATTTCTATTTTTGGTAGTATTGTTGCAAAACAGACAACTGCATCGTGTTCTGCGTTATTATGATTCTTATTATTGTTATTGTTGTCCCTCGACGCATATGTCCTCCCGTTATACCGAATCGGTAATACCATTGTTATTACTGTGATTACGTTTTTCTCTTTTGGAATTTCGTAATAATTTCTCATGATTTAAGGCCAAGGTTTACTTATTAATCCACAGCGTCACATAAGCAGAAAAATGTATTATGCTGTAACGCGCTGAACATTTCAAAATAAAAGCCCTTATAGTTAATTTTAGGAAATTCATCTGATTTTGAGAAATTGCCACATTTCAAATATAAAATGAGCTTTAGGACTTCGTTAGTGTCAACCTGCTATCTCTACTCACATCTTTTAGACGACCTATTCTAATTTTTCACAGCGAGGAACAGAGAAATTCTGACAGTAACACAATCTGCATCCTTAAAAATGACACCGAGTGACTTTATGTAGACCTTTTTGGGGCTTTTCTTGCTAATATTCTTGACTATTTTTTGTTTTATTAAGGGACATCAAACTGAATCAATTCAACATTCATAAACAGTGAAAACCTTTCCACTCTTCATCACTCTGGAAAGGATGAAGGATGGAAAAGTGGTTGATCCAGATCGTGATGCCCAAGAGAGTGGGCATTGGACCTTTTGACCACATTGTTAAACATAGTCTTAGAGAGGGACAGGATGCCCGAGGAATGGAGAATATCTTTACTGGTACCAATTTTCAAAAATAAGGATGATGTACCGTGGGATAAAGCTCATGACTCATGAGTTGTTGAGGCTATGCTAAGAAGAGAGGTGATGAGCAGTAATTAGCAGTGCGGCTTTATGCCCAGACAGAGCCCCACAAATGTGATAATTGCTTTGAGTGTTGAAGTGTAGAGATGGTCCGAAGGAGTTGCACGGTGTCTTTGTGGCTCTAGAGAAATCACTCCAAGACAGGCATGTGGGAACGAGAAGTGTCAGAGACATGTCTGGCTGGTGCAGGAGGAAAGTGATGAGGTGTATGTAGAAGGGACAGTTGGGTTCAAGGCGGAGGTGGGATTACATCAAAGATCTGCTCTGAGCCCCTTCTGGTTCACAGTGGTGATACAGAAGAGGCCAGGCTGGACTCTCTGTGGACTAGGATGGTTTTTAGAGATGGTGGGACTAACATAAACCAGAGGCTGAACTGGAGCTGTCAGGGGTATGACCAATGGGAATGACCAGAATGGACAGGATTAGAAATGAGTATATCAGAGAGACAGCTCAGGTCAAGCATTTTGGAGAGGCAAGGCCGAGGTGTGCAGAGACGTAGTGGACATGTAGGAAGCTGAAGATGGAGGCAGAAGAAAGTGAAGTTTATGATTCATAGATGCAGTGAAAGAGAATATGCAGAGGGCTGGTGTGACAGAAGAGGATGGTAGGAATAGGATGAGATGGAGATGCAGATGATCTGCTCTGGGAACTCCTAAAGAGAGAAGCCAAAAGGAGGGGAAGTTTTTATTATAACAGAAGGACCTTAGTAAACAGCAGGATGAGGGCTCAGTCTGCAGCTATATCTTCACCCAGCTCATCTACCGTCACACATCTCAGAGACGGATCTACGCTTCGTTTTTGGGATTGGGTTTTTCTCTTACCCAAATTAAGGCTTCCGCTGAAAAGGTGTGGCCTTTCATCACTGAGTAATATATAGCAGCACAGCTACTTCATGACTCAGTTACGTAGTATTGATTTGTCACCAGGTTTTGGTCATTTTTCAAAAGGTTTGTTTTCTTGCTTTTTCTATTCTTTCAGGAGTAAAGGAAGAGTGTTGATGTGATAACGGTGAACCAAACCACCAAAGTGTACATTTAAGAAACATTCATTTTTCCTCATTAAATATTTAAAAGCATTTTGCGTAAAAAAAAAGCAGAAAAGAAAACAACTCATTTTTCATTTTGCATACTGAGTCAAATAACCCTTAAAAAATAAATAAAATAAAACTGACCAAGTGTGCACAGCTCCACTGTTCCATGTGGCCTCAAAATCAGCATTATGGCAGGTTGATAAACCTACCTTAATTAAATTCATCATTAAAGGTCATAGCATTTTTTTCTGTTTCTTTTTAATCTAGCACATTGTTAAGAATGATACGTTTACCATTCATTGACTGTCTTGGTATTCAAGCAATTTTCTAATGCTTAACTATAAATGAGTTGAAATTCTACATTCTCAGCCTGTTATAGGCCAATCTCCAACCTTCCTTTTATCCAAACAAATCTCCAAAGAATTGTTAAACAGCTAACAGATCGTCTGCAGAGGAATCGTTTATCTGAAGAGTTTCATCAGGATTCAGCTTTAGTGAAGGTTACAAATGATCTCGGCCTCTGACAGTGGACTCAGCTCAACTTCAGTGCAGCGTTCGATACTGTCCACCAAAGTATGTTAGTATACAAAGTAGAGCATGCCATAGGAAGTAAAGGTGCAGTGGTTTGAATCATATGCAATAGACTCCTTTTAATTTTTCCAAGTAAAGTCACCCACCAAGTTAAATTCCACAGGATCCCGTGATGGGACCAGTTCTGATTACATTATGCATGTGGCAGAGGATACACAGCAATGAGTTAAACTGCAGAAATGTCTTAAAGACAACTCGATGACCTCTAATTTCCTGCGTCTACATTTAGATAAACTGAGGTCATTGTGTCTGACCAGATACTTATTGTGCCTGGAGTTATCTTCACTGCCAATAACACTGAGGAATCCTGGAGTCGTGTTCGGATCACCCTATTGGAGCTAGGTTGCTCTAAGACTGCAGGCTTACTTGTGGCCCCTTACTTGTGAGTTTTCAGCTTTCATGACACTGTTCTGCGAAATAAGCTTGGAGTTAAGAGATAAACACGTTCTCTAGTTTCACAATTAGGCTTAAAATGTTCCTTTTTGAGTTGGGGCTGGATCAAATGATCGAGAATCCTCCCGTTGTTACGCTGCAATGGGCCTAAACTGCTGGCTTCCCAGGTGTTTGTTGCCCATACATTTTTGACTCTCTGTGAGCTTATGAACCACTCTGCATTTAATCATTAGTGTTTAATCATCTTTGGCTCTCTTCTTCAGTTTGTCCACCAAAGATTTCTTCCAGTGAAAAAGGGAGTTTTTCCTTCCCACTGTTGCCAAGTCCGGTATTGTTGGTTTTCTGTGCATTATTGTAGGGTCGTCACATTACAATAGAAAGTGTCTTGAGGTGACTGTTGTTGTGATTTGTTGCTATATAAAGAGAATTGAATTAAATTGAACTGAATACATTCCAGGGCTCCAAAAATACAAGCTAGCTGAAAGGTTTATGTAATTATTCTGGACAGTAAAAATCACACAATGGTCATTAAAACGGGTTCAGACTTGATGATGGTTCATCTCTCATATCATGACCGCATAAGATGGCTTAACAAGTCGAAAGTATTGGTATCATCATCAGTATATTGATCCTGAATTTACATGGTATTAAATGAATACTAAAACGTCCATGATCACTAATGCTAATGCTCCCCACTTCAATCATAGATGGTAATAATAAAATGGTAATAACTATTCAAAAACGTTAAAAATAAAATGGTACAATCCGAAACTGCTGCACATGAGATTAATGCTGCAGAAAATCGTTTACTAGCACGATTTGTGAAATAAATATTTCAGTTAAATTAATTATTTTAACGTTGCATGCGCTATCGGTGTTGCTGTTTATTCCTAATGAGGTCTACTTTAACTTTAAAATGCATGCTTTTAAAAATTAACGGTGTGTGTTCTGTGCTCTAGAGGCTGCACAAGCGTCAAAGACACTGAACGTTGGAAACATCTATAAAAACACTTTTACATTTTCTGCATCACCAAATACAAACACACCCTGTGACGAATCAACAGAGTGTGCATGTCATGCGGTGGTTTTAGTAAAGTATGGCTCAACACTCGCACTTTTAAAACACACCGTCAGCGATGACATGTTCCACTTAACACATGCAGAATAAAAGGATCAGTGACAGCACGGCGCCTCCAGCTGATTTAAATAGAGAGAGAGAGGTTCTGATATGAGCTGATCTCTTTTGACAGTTTGGTATTTGGAGTTGAAAGAGAGGAGGCATTATTGTATTAATCATGCAAGTGAGAGAAAACACAACACGGACATCCTTTTCTGTCCACTTTTGTCAACAATCTTTTTAACACTGTTTCTCTGACAAAGGAAGTGGACGTCAACACGGGACGGTTATGTGGACAGAGATCTGCTCATAGTCTGCTGCCCCGGGTTCAGATTGTTGAGCGTGAGCCTAACAGGTGATTAAGTCAGTGTGCACAGCTCGTTACAGTGATAGGCTTTATACTTCATGCTTGCGCTGCTTCCTCACCAACTCATCACCAAAGATTCCAATCTAGTGTCTGATTGTGTGCGTGTTGTATGTTTCATAACTAATCATGTGACTATTTACATGGCTCTTGCGTAAGTGGGCTAAGTGGATTTGTGCTTGTTTTAAAGGACTTTGAGACCTCTATAATATCAATTAGCCGACAGAGACCTCATGCATAACAGTGCTTACACATTATTGATGTTCGGAGTCTTTAGAGTTTAAAGTCATGTCCTTACTGAGCTGAGCAACTCACAAAGATGCAACTAAAAAGTGCAGGTGGAGGCTGCACTATACAGTGCTGTGAAAAAGCATTTCCCCCCTCACTTGCATTTTTCAGATCATCAAATAATTTGTAATTTTAGACAAAAACAACCAGAGCAAATACAAAATGCAGTTTATTAATGGAAAAAGC